GCGTTCACAGTTCCTGGTCGGCCCCTCTACCAATTCAGGGTGATGTCTTTCGGGCTCTGTAATGCGGCACAGAGGCTGGTGAGACTCATGAATCGAGTAATCCCAGCCGAGATCCGATCCAACGTATTTGTATACTTGGACGATCTGCTCATTCTGGCCCCGGACATCGAGACGCACTTCCGATACCTACGACGAGTCGCCGAATGCCTAAGAGAAGCAGGATTAACCATCGACATGAATAAATCTAAATTCTGCTTCAAGTCTTTGACTTACTTGGGTTTCGTCGTGGGTGGAGGTCGTTTGAGCATGGATCCCGGTAGAGTGGCGGCAATCGATGCCGGAGCCGAGGTTGATGAAGGAGGTGCGCGTTTCTGGGAACAGCAGGCTGGTATCGGAGATTCGTTCGAAACTTCGCAACGCAAGCAGCGCCGTTGACTGAATCCCTCAAGAAAACTGGGAACAAGTTTTCCTTGAGTCCGGAAGCGCAGCTGGCAATTGAAGCCTTGAAGATGGCGCTAACCACGGCACCAGGCCTGGTGCACGCCGATTTCATGCGGCACTTTTATATTCAGTGTGACGCATCACACATCACCAGGTGAATTACACCGTCACCGAGAAAGAGTGCCTGGCAGCCCTCCTGGCGATCCGGAAGTTCCGACCATACGTGGAAGGCATGCCGTTTACGTGCATCACGGATCACGCCAGCTTGAAATGGTTGATGTCCATGAAAGATCTGTCGGGACGCCTGGCCAGGTGGTCTCTGCAGCTCCAGGGGTTCAACTTTACAATCGAACACCGTAAAGGCAGCGAGAACGTGGTGGCAGACCTAACAGAGTTGCTGGGTTTTGAGACCACCGAATTTGCTGGAAAGGAGTACCAGGAGTTAGTCCAAGAGATCCTGGGAAACAAGGATAACTTACCGGATCTTTAGATTGAGGACGGGCTCATCTTTAAGCGAACCTCCCCGGGAATTTTGGACGACGAGGTGGACGGATCAGCGTGGAAGCTCTGGATACCGCCGAGTCTGACCCACAGCCTGGTAGAGCGAGCCCATACGGAGCCAAAGGTAGCTCACGGCGGAATGGGGAAGACACTGGAGATCCTTCGGCGGCAGTTCTACTGGCCCGGGATGGTGCTGCAGGTTCGGGAATTTGTTCGAAGATGTCAGGTCTGCAAGGAGTCGAAGCCGCCGAATCACCGTATGATGGTCGGAATCAGTGAGCGAGTAAAGACTGAGCGGTCATTCCAGAAGCTGTACATCGACTTCCTTGGCAAGTACCCGAGGTCGAAGAAAGGGCATGCCTGGATCTTCATTGTGGTGGACACCTTTTCCAAATACACGTTCCTGAGGGCCATGAAGGAAGCGAAAGCCTCAAATGTTGTGGATTTCCTCATAAACGAGGTCTTCTACAAGTTCGGGGTCCCAGAGATCGTGCATTCGGACAATGGACGACAGTTTGTGTCGAAGATCTTCGAGGAAGCCATGGAGAGCTTTGGGATTCGGCACTTAAAAATTCCGATATACTCTCCACAGAGGAACGCAGCGGAACGAGTGAATCGGAGCGTTCTGCGTCCGAGGGTTCCTGGAGAACGATCATAGAGAATGGGATGCCTACCTTCCCGAGATCGAAGTGACGAAGCACCGTTTTTCACGCTGTTCGGACACCACATGTTCCTACATGGTTCCAGCTACCGATTGGCCAGGAAGCTGCAGTCTCTGTGCGACCACGAGATGGCCGGTATGCCAATAGCTGACAAGCTCCGAGTCGTGCAGGAGAAGGTGCGCAAGTGTCTGGAGCCCTCGTACGATCGTTGTCGCCAACGCTATAACCAGAGGGCCAGAGAGTTTGCCGCAAAGCCTGGCCAGGAGGTGTATCGCCGGAATTTCGTTCTCAGCGACTTCGGAAGGCAAGTTAACGCAAAGTTTGCCAAGAAGTTCCTCAAGGCCAGGGTGGTGAGGACGATAGGCAGCAACACGTACGAGCTCGAGGACATGCAGGGCCGGAGTTTGTGTGTATACCACGCCAAAGATATCCGCGTGGGACCTGGAAGAGGGATCATGAAGTACACATGGACCAGACACTGGATAAAGGGTACTTCCCGTAAGACGTGGGCCCCGCGTTGGGCACCTTACGGAACTGCGCTGGAGATACAGATCTAAATGCTCCCAATGATCCTGTCGAGCTGCTGGAAGCCGGGAGCAACACCCCATATCCTTGGGTGGTGTTGCATTTCGGGTGGGAACGGGCTGAAGGACTATCGATATATCGATAGGGATAGGTAGAATTGGTAGGACCAGGAGGGGGCGAGGAAAATAAGCAAACCGTGAAGTTCGAATGCGGCCTAAGAGAAAGGGTTCTTGCCCTTTCTCTCGGCAAGGGCAATGTAAAAGTAACGGCTGGAGTCTGGAACGGCGGAAAAGAACCGTGCTATAAAGGGAGGTGCGAGTGAAAAAAACGAGGAGAAAAATCTGAATTCATAACGAGGGATTTTTGTGCGGTTAAAATCGGAACGAGAAAAACGTGATCACGGAATCGAGGTGGACGACGTGACCGAACGCCACCCAGCGCCGTTGCTTGAGCCGTCGCCTCAGAGCCACCCAGTGCCGTTGTCGGAGCCGTCGCCTCAGAGCCACCCAGTGCCGTTGCCTGAGCCGTCGCCTCAGAGCTGCTGGCCACCGCGTCGCCGAATCCGCCAAAGCTGCTGGTCACCGCGTCGCTGAATCCGCCGCGGTCAGAACGACCACCGGCCAGAGTCGCCGCAACCCAGGACCGCCGGCCAGAGTGACCGGCGCAGCCAAGTCCGCCGGCCAAAGCAAACGTCGGAGCCGTCGCCGCCGCCGCAGCCCAAAGACGACCCCCAGATCCGCCGAGCCGCCGCCGCAGCACAGGTCCGCCATCCAGAGCAGCCGTCCCCGCCACTGCAGGAGATTCCCATCAGCTGCTACCATCCGGTGATACCGTTCCGGATGGGACGATTTAAAGGGCGGATTGCATATTAGTTCCTGCCCAGGCAGCTGCCGCCGACCTGCCGGCAGCCCTTACTAACCGGCGCCAAACCAGAGCGAGCCGGAATAGAGAAAAATTAGTTTGTTATTATTAGGTGAAAGATATTAGTGTGTTTGTCTCGCCCTCCGTTTGATCGTATCCTGGGTCCGGGATAGGTGCAACACATGCGCTGCGACCAATAGGGGAACGGGGAAGAAGCCAATTAGTAAGCTCTCGTTTTTTTTTGAGCCCCGACCCTAGTCTATTTCTCTTGGAGCTCCAGCAGGGATACTAGGTGAAAGTGAGGGAAAAATTTTTGTTAGCCAGTCGTATCCAAATTGCGGCCGAATAGCTTCTTCTCCGCAAGACCGACAACGTTTCCCGATAAAAGGCAGCGCAAGCGCATCCCTGGCTGAGGCCACGTTCTCGCCGTGGATGAGTTGGCGCCTAATAACTATATTTGTTGCCTTGTTAAACTTAAAAAATAAATCAATGAAATAAATCAAAAAATAATCAATAGTCATTAAAGCTTGAAATGAAAATAGAGTAAGTTTTACCTGGGGGGGAGATGAGCCGGTTGCCAGACCGCCTGGAGTAAGTTCTGCCCGCCGGAGATGGGTGATGCCCCGAAATGTCGAGGAGGCATCACTGGATGGGTGGGCGCATCGTGGCGGGACCAACCAAGCCACAAATTCGAGCGTGTGTTCAAGTGTTTCTCTTTTCCGATCTCATTCACAAACACTTGCTACATATCGATAGGGGCGCTTCCCACACCCTATCGATGAAAATCCGCCAGAAAATATTCCTATTGGCCATTAAAACAATTGTATGAAATAATCATGCCACATGGCGTTAAGGTCATTAGGAAGCCAGTGTTTGTGAATGAGGTCGGAAAAGAGAAACACTTGAATTTTTTCAAAATCTAACGGTTAGATCATGTTAAGATTTAATTCGAAATTAGAGAATATTTTTCCCTAACTTTTGGGATACGGTGCAAGTTTGCACGCGTTCATTTAAGAGAGTAAGATTTTTGTAAAAGTTTGCGTCGATTTTGCTTGTCGGGGAGCGGCATAACATGCCGCCGTGGTATATACTAAAATAATGTAAAAATAACGAAATAGATAATTTTCCCTGATTTAGATGAAAATCACACTAAATTGTTATGAATGGCTTCTCTATTTATTGGGCAGTCACTCTTCTTAATATTTTATTCAACAAATTGCTATTTTTATTAAATTTAGTATTTTTTTTTAAACATGGTTCCATGGTCTGGTTCAGCGAGTGGTTCTCTGCAGATTCCCATCTGGTTCCATTTTCATAGCTCGCGCCTTGGATATCAGCCCAAATACACCACCCACTGTTAATCGATTTTCTCGAAATCTGACGGTTAAAACAATTGAAATTTTTACCAAATATTCCTTAATCTTTCCCTAGTAAGCCTAAATACCGTGCATATGTGCACGCGTTCGTAAATCGAAGTTATATGCCTTACTATTTTTGATGCCCTATTTTGTATGGAGCCGACCCCGAGGTAAGATCACTGTTATGCGATTTGCTCAAAAACTGACGGTTTAAAAATTTAAACTTGGTACGGTAAAACTAAAATAAATGTCCTTTATTTTGGCGCATCGGGTATTGCTGCACGCGTTCGATTAGCCGAGATATTAAGAAATCCGTCAAAACACGACTTTTCACATGTTCTTTTTTTAATATATCGAAATGTCAAATACTTTCAAACCCAGTATAAAAGAATAGTAAATTCAGTTTTTAGCATTTAGAAACTTTATTTTATTCCAATTAGTGCCTTCATTACGAAATAAATAAAAAATTAAAGATCCCCTCCGTGTTCACTTTTTCCCACGGTTCCATTTTGACGCTAATTTGACGGACATCATATTTCATCAGTATTCCTTTATTTATCCGTTGGTTTATTTTTATATTTATCGATATTTCAACCATCGATAAGTGCCACCACAAATCCATCAGTATCGCGAAAAGGTAGCGTACTAATCTTACTCTCCGTTTTTCCTGATCATGCTTGAAAAAATATTGCATCAACAATTATTTTTCATAAACAAAAAAAAATCATAATATCTGTTGAGGTTGGCTATTTTAGGCTATTTTGGTTGGCTTTCCAACCATATATGACGACCGATAGTTGCCAACACTGACTGAACTAGTTCGTTTGCAATAATTGCATAGAAAATCTGCATCTGTGGTTGAAGCTTGTTGGTATTTACAATAAATTCTTAGAAATTATAAAATATATTTACTCTGCTAATATTAAATTTATGCAAATGAATTTTGTACTATGCACACACTATATGTATATAAGTTTTAAATTATATATATACATGCATTTGTAAATATCAAATCAATATGTTTCTTACAGTAATAAATTTGGGAAAAATTAAAGAAGTTCATAAATTTGTATATATAATTATAACATTTATCCCAGTGCAGACATATGAAAAAGTATCTTTGAAATTGTTTTGATATATTTACTTCTTGATATACATATATGTATGTATGTACATGCATATATGCATAGGTATGTATGTGTATTTTTATGTTTAGATTGCTGTGGAGTTTAATTAAAGTTTAATACAAACAATACGACAAATATTAAATAATAATATACCAATAAGTTTTTTCTATACAGAAAGCACATTTGAGCTATTGTAACCACGGATTTATTGACAAGTGTCATGTTAAGGAGCTGCGGAAATTCGGAAGTACACATCGGGAAAATCGTTCATCTTAAAAGATTGGAAGTTCAGAAAATTATTGCAAATCTCATAACCATGCTGAGACAGGCAAAGTTGAGTTATAATATTGCGGCTCTGATTTCCATACACCTTGTGGTAAATAATTTATCGGGAATTATTAAGCTACCGAAAATTTCAATAAGACGGAAGATCGCCTAAGATAAATAATTCGTCAAAAGTGTGACTATTTATTTTTAATAATTCAAAGTCACATTAATTGATAGTTAAAACAAATACAAAAAAAGTTCTATATTCTGGGACCTGAATATTTCTGAAATTAATAAATATTTCAACAAAAAATGAAGTTATTAGAGAGCTCACGTTTCGAGGCAATCAACAATGCTCTTTCTATTCAAACAAGCGGTGTAACAATCTTCGGACGCATTGAAAGTTATTCATGGTACGTATAATCAATAGCATGAATAATGATTTTGTTTTTTTAATTTTGTTGGTTGAAATACCTGCCCTAATGTACATATGTACATATACAAAGGTAGTCAAAAGTATTTACACTTCGACCATTTTCATAGCCAAATTTCTTTTAGTATTTATTCTTGTTGCTGACCGTTTTCCTTGAAATTTTTTTTATTGCGTAGATTGATCTACACTGAACCGCATATCTCTGCGTACACCCAAAAAAAATGTCAAATTCAAACTTTAAACACAAACTGTTCAGTTAACATAACATACGTATTTTTTTTTAGAATTATGAAGCAATGCTTTATATTTTATTTTTAATTTTAAACTTAACACTGTAAAAAATGACCCCGCTAAGGTCTGCGTACAGCTGACGAAAAACTATTTTAACTTAATAATATACTTATTTTAATATCTGGTATGGTATCTATTCCTGTGTACAACCTCCGTAAGGCGTCTCGGCATGGAATCCACCAGATTTTTGGCTCCTCGCCTGTTATTTTGATCCTTTCCTCCACAATGACATCCTTAAGCATTTTTTTCGACTTTATTGTATGTTTCCGGATCTTCCGCTCCAAGAGATGCCACAAATGCGCAATTGGGCTAAGATCTGGACTCTGTGGAGCTATTCGCCACTGATTTTTAACTTTTAATAGAAAGTTAAGCTTTGTATTATGTGCCGTGTGCTTCGGATCATTGTCCTCTTGAAACCAATATTCATGTTCCAACCCTAATTTTACAGGACTTTCTGGGAAATTGTCTACCAAAATTGGTATATAGATTCCATGCCGAGACGCCTTACGGAGGTTGTACACAGGAATAGATACCATACCAGATATTAAAATAAGTATATTATTAAGTTAAAATAGTTTTTCGTCAGCTGTACGCAGACTTTTGCGGGGTCATTTTTTACAGTGTTAAGTTTAAAATTAAAAATAAAATATAAAGCATTGTTTCATAATTCTAAAAAAATACGTCATTGAAGACAATTTAATAAAGAGTATGCTAGCAAAAAAAATTGTCTAAAACGTTAATGATTAACTGAACAGTTTGTGTTTAAAGTTTGAATTTGAAATTTTTTTGGGGTGTACGTAGAGATTTGCTGTTCAGTGTATGCAGAAGCGAGCCAAAAAGGAATTCGAAAGTTAACGGTTCTTAGAAAAGTATAAGTAAAAGAATAGATGCACCTACAGTGTAATATTTACACATAATTTGTTTTTTTTTAATGCTATTAAAATTAAACATTTTTTTTTGTGACAGTCTCATAAGTTACTTTATTAATAGTTAAAAAAATTTGTTTAGGTATCGATGAAGGCTTTAACTTGAGTTTATTAAGCTACATATATCCAAAATAAATAGACATATTTTCTTTTGTTTTTAATATTGGCCTATGAACCGTTATCTTTTGTTTTCGTTTTCTGCTTGTTTCTGAATATATCAATTTATGCAATAAAAAAAATGTAATGGAAATCGGTCAACAAAAACAAGAATAATAACAACAAGAAAGGAAGCTAACTTCGGAACGCCAAAGTTTATATACCCTTGCAGATAGAACTTCTATGACTAGGAATCCATACAATATAAATTATATATTTTTGTGTTAAAAACAATTAAGTAATACCTGGTTTCATTTCATTCACCTATACATATTATATTTGCAGTTTTACATTCACAGATTTGCATTTTTCTTCTACATCAAACGATCGTTTGTATGGCACCTATATGATATAGTTGTCCGATTTTCATGAAATTTGACACAAAATTGTAGAGTATAATAAAATGGCTATATTTTAAATTTGATCCAATTCTATTGAAAACTGGAAATGTTAAAAAAATGTTGTAAAAATTTTCCGATCATTCCTATGGCAGCTATATGATATAGTCGTCCGATCCGACCCGTTCCGACATACACTTGGACGTTGATGCACTAAGGTCAGTACATACAAGTGGCACGTGCCTTTTTGGGTTAGGTGTTAGTAGGCGCGATGGAAAATATAGGACAGAATACGAGGAAAATTGACTACCGGCGTGCTGCCAGATTGTTAGCTTGCATGCTTACTAAGTGTTAGTATTAAAGATTTTAATTTGGGAAGGGTATCTACGTTAGAGATTAGTGTGTACAAATCATTATAATTTGCACATAACACTCTAAAAGGTTCATGCAGTTCAAAGGAGGTCCTACAGTGGCGCAACACTAATGGGATATAGGATCTAGTGGTTCTACATGGTACATGGAAATTAAGCTGACTCAACAAGTCAGCACTTTCCACATCACCATGGATAAGGTTAAAAATAAAGGTTATCCCTAGCATCGTTCTACGATTGGCTAAGGACGGCAAGTTTATTAATAGGAGTCTACTAGAGTAGGAAGGTAATCTTTGGTTTGCATCCCAATTTAAACCGCGTAGAGCGAGAAGTAAAAAGTTCTTTTGAACCGACTCAATGCGTTTACTATGGACGCCGTACTGAGGGCTCCAAACGCAGCATCCATATTCTAGGATAGCACGAACTAAGGAAGTATATAAGGATTTAGTAACATAGGGGTCATTGAATTCCTTCGACCACCGTTTAATAAATCCAAGCACACCCCTGGCTCTATTCACCATAGACGAAATACGATCAATAAAGTCAAGTTTTGGGTCCAAGCGGACGCCCAAATCGTCAACTGTATTAATTCTTTCCAAAGAGCAGCAGTTCAGCGTGTAAGTAGCAAGCTTAGGAGCGACACGACAGAATGTCATTAGCTTGCATTTCGAGCCATTTAAGTATAATAAGTTTACACGGCACCAAATTTGAAAATTATTAAGATCTGTTTGTAAATCCGACTGGCAGGCAACGTCATTGTATTGCACGCAAAGCTTGACGTCATCCGCGTACATAAGTACTATGGAGTTAGTCAAGACTTTGGGCAGGTCATTTATGAACAATGTAAACAATAAGGGTCCCAAATGGCTTCCTTGCGGGACACCAGATGTAACGCTTAGAACATTGGATAAATTATTCTTAAAGAGGACCTTCTGCGCCCTGCCATTCAAATAACTAGAGATCCAATTAAGAAGATCACTTGGAAAACCCATTGAATCGAGTTTTCTAACGAGGAGAGAATGGTTAACAGAGTCAAATGCTTTACTGAAATCAGTATAGATTACATCTGTCTGACAATTATTATGGAAGCCCTTTATAATATAGGAAGAGAACTCCAAAAGATTTGTTGTTGTTGATCTTCGCTTAATAAAACCATGTTGACATGGAGAAATAACCGATCTACAAAGGTGCTGTAAGTGAGGGGTGATAATGTTTTCAAATAATTTAGGGATGGCCGACAACTTAGAGATTCCTCTATAATTGCTGGCATCCAATTTGCTACCTTTTTTGTGGAGAGAAACAAAAAACGATTCCTTCCAAATAATGGGAAAGTGGGAGGTTTCTAAGGACAAGGTAAACAATTTCAGAAGGGGATAGCACAGGGCGTCGGCACAATACCTGAGCGCACAGCCAGGAATTCCGTCGGGACCTGGCGAATAAACTGGCTTGACACGATGAAGATCTAAAAGGAGAGAGCTTTCGTTTAGGCTAGGACAGAAAATTAAGTTCGATTTGGGTATGTCGTAGGAATAAGTCTGGTATATATACGAAGAGCTAGAATAGGTTGTTTGAAAAACTGCGAAAATAGATCGGCTATTGCCTGATCATTATTTGCAGTAGTATTTTCAAATGAAAGCGAGGAAGGATTTGTTTTAGGTTTACGTTTAGTGTTAACGAAATTATAAAACTGTTTTGGGTCCTGTGAGAACTGGGCCCTACAACGATTTAAATAGTTTTTATAACACTGCGCGTTCAGCACGGTAAAGTTTGACCGAGCTGATAAATAAAATGAAAGGGCAGATTGAGAACCGGTGATTTTAAATTTACCATACAGTCTAGATTTTTTATTTTTAAGTCGGCTAAACTCTTTAGTAAACCACGGCGGTTTATTCGAGCTTGGCGGATAATATAACGGAACACATTCAGTAAAAAATGAATTCATGGCACTGTAAAAATATCCACGGCAACTGCCATGTCAGTGCACATGTATAGATCGGACCAATTGAACTCGTTTATAAAATTATTCAGCCGTTCAAAGTCCGTTTTGCGAAAACATAGGACTTTATTGGCTGGACGGTCAGAAATATTCTGTACGTCACACCCAATATCAAGAGTCACATCGAAAGTTGGATGATAAGGATCCTCGGGCTGCGTCAGAGGCGCCACCCTTGCTAAACTAACTCTCGCAGGATCAGAGACGAAGCAAAGATCGAGCAAGCGCTGTAAGGAATTTCGCACATGGTTGACTTGAGACAGCGAAATGTCAAACAAGCCAGTGATAAAGTCATGTTGTGTAGAAGTTAGGAGAGTATTGTTGGAATTATTTGAGCACCAAAAAGCACCAGGGATATTAAAATCACCTAGGTCTACAAACTGGTCTCTATCCAAAAATCTACTGGAAACCATCTGAATAGCGGAAGGGTAGTTCCAATAATGTGGAAGTTCCAACAATGGAGATATGTAGGAATAGGTAATAAAATGGAGCTACCTTTGATAGATAGCTTCAGACAAAGGAATTGAACATCGTTGCATTCCTCGAAGGTTAATAATTCTGACGTGAGTGAGGAGTCCACCGCTATAAGAACTCCACCCCCGCGTCTGATAGGGCGATCTAGCCGATATACCGTGAACACAGCTGGAAAAACTTCGGAGCTCAGAATCTCCGGCTTTAACCAGGTTCCTGTGAGCACAATAACCTGAGATGCAAACGAAAGGCTATCAGAATACAAGTTAGGAAGCTTACTACGTAAGCCTCTTGCATTCTGAGAGGAAATACCTAAGAAGTAGGTTGGTTTTTTGGGTCGGGATTGGAAGACGTAGAAGGCGCAGTGGTAACGTCAGGCCTGGGAAGAGTTATTCCTACAGGCCGCTTTTTCTTTTTCTTCGTCTCGAACTCCT